GTTGCGCAGAATCATGTGCGGTCCAGTCCCATGCATTTTTCTCTAAATGCCACAACCACATATGATCTAATTTCCTGTTTGACCGGACACTAAACTGTGTCTTTGTGTTCAGGCCTTCAGGCAGACGTTCATTTCCTGGTAGTTTTGTGCCCTTCATGTTCAGATGGTTTGAAACCCTGTTTTAAAACCAAACCCTCCTTTAAAGTTCTTTACACAGTGATGTAAAAAATAAAATATCTGGCTTTATGTTCAGCTGAAGTTAGATTGACTCTTTTTACTGATTCAGCGACTTCTGAAGCTGTAGGTTTAATTTTACTGGATTACTGGAGGGACTGTGTGTAAATGAACAGACTTATCTTTTTAAAATTTTACATGTTAAAACCTTTGAAAACCATCCAACTAATCCAGAAAATCGTCATACCTGAAATATTGTTGTTTTTTAAATAATGCGGTCCTCTGTGTTTTCGGAATGGTAAATGTTAAACTGTTTCTGCACCCTTGTATTTGTGCAATATTTTACTTTTTAATGTGAGCTTTTGGTCAGAAAAGCCTTCAGCGGAGTGGACATGTACTTTCTGATGAAAGTCTTTCTGACTGAAATCCTGCACAGATTCTAATGTGCTGAAATCCTTTGTTTACCTTTTATGGTTTCCAGCACCTTAACCAAGGCATATCCAGGATGAGCAGTAGATCTGTGCAAAGGTTGACATTGCATTGATGATTTCCATTTCATATATTCAGCAGCTCAAATTTCATGATTGCTTTTGCTGTTCTTATATTTTATATCCACTTAAAAAGGATCAAACCAGTGAGCAATTCAATTTAATTCACAATCCTTTTTTTTCTCTCTGCAAGATAACCTTTACCAGAACGACAAGCACCTCAGGCTGTTCCTGTAGATGTTTATCTGCTTACCAAGTCCCCAAAGCCTCCTCCATATTAACAGAAGCATCTTCTCCTATTTGCTTCTAGTTATCCTCAGAGCAACGCTGCAATAAATCTTTTAACATTTTAAAACCTACAGCAGCAACCTCTGAGGATTCTCCACCATGAGTTCAATGTGTCCAAATATTTCCCTGAATTGTTTCTTTGTGTTTTGCAGTACCTGAACCGAGGATGTACCAGATACTTCGCCAGCAAGGACTCTGATAAACAAATCTTACAGAGCCGCAAGAGTGCTGAGGTAAACGTCTCTTGTATATTTATAGAAATATGCAGTACTCTTAGGGTATTGGGTATTGTTCAAAAATGTTTGGTTCCGGTACCAATACCGATACCTTCACTTCGATACCGGTTCCTGAACGATACTTTTTTCGATACCAGTTTTATAATTTCAATTCGAAGAAAAGAAAATTACACAACATAAAAAAGTACAAATCTTGAGTTTTATTTTAAGCTCTGATTTTTCCATTTACATTTTTCCTCTTACATAAAAAAAAAAAAACATTCAGTGTCTAATATTCACTGTTACATTGTGAGGACCTTTTTACTCAGCAGTTTTCCTTTAGAAAAATTACCATGTCTGACAAACAAGCCCGTTGAATGGGATCCTACTGACAGCGCACCGCTGGGATGTGGGGGTCTGAGCGGCTCCCACAGAAATATTGGAAGGCAGGATTAACTGACTGCACTGATGAAGTTTTCAGGTGGATTTTCTCACTTAAAAACATATTAAAACTACTTTATTCCCACTGATCACAGCAAATATAGCTGCAAGGCAGAGAAAGGATAGAGTAGCTCTGCCCAACGCGCGTCAGAGCCACTTTTCGACCGCGCAACCAGAGCAGCAAAGCTGCTTCAGCCGCGCTTTAGAAGCTGGTACAAGCGGGAAAAATGAAGCAGCAGACGTGATTTTGCTGCTCCTGCTGCGTCCAGTTTGAAAGCAGCATGATTCACTCCGCTCTGGCTTTGCTCCGCCCACGGGTTGCTGAGAGGAGGATGGTCGCGCCGGCTGCGGTCCGCTCTTCTTGCAGTCAAACACCGAGCAACTTTCTGCTCTTAAATAGTTTCCGTGCACGATGTATTGCATTGCGCACTATTGGCATCAGTCTTAATAAAGTGAAGCCGCACGTTTGACCTGGGGGGCATTTTAAAGGGGTTCCACGACGCTGCAACCAGTTCACAACAGATACACATGAACCCTGGCTGTAGGCGGGACCACCTGTGTATTTTTCCTGGATGACGCAATCACGTTAAGTGTCACAGCCAATCACCGAAACTTGGTACCGAAAGACGAGGCATGTTTCGATACTCTGTAGAACCGAAGCATTTCGGTCGGTACCATAAAAGAACCGATGTTCGGTACCCAGCCCTAAGTACTCTTATGTTCAATTTTCAATTCAGTTTATTTCTATAGCGCCAATTCACATCACATGTCATCTCAAGGCACTTTACAGTTCAACCAGATCTGTGGTAGAACCAGACCTAAAATTCTCATATTATCTTTGGATTATTATTAGAAGAGAGATGAGAATCACCAGGACCAAACTGGGCTTCCTGAACAGGCTGATCTATGCATATCTGTGTTCATGCATTTTAAAAAATCTTCTTATGCTGATCTGCATAGTCACATTTTCTGTCAGAAATTTAGATCTTTTTTTTTTGTTTTGGACTCTATGCCAGAATTAAAAGAAATAACAGAAATAAAAATGCGAAATTATAGAATAAATTATGTTGGGCGGCAGACTACTGTACTAATGTCAGTACATCTCTGTAGTACAAGTGCAATAATCCAAGTCAACTACTGTGTATACTTCCCTTAGATCTCTACTGTGCGGATATTTTTATATGGAAGGGAAACATATTCCAGGAGATTCCAACTTTTTTCTTTTATTTCATGTTTTATTTGTACTATATACCCTCTTTTTATATTGTCTGTCATATTTTTATCTCATATTTTTATCCCAAGGGACAAATAAATTTGAGTCTACACTAAGTTTGCAGTAATGTCACGCAATAAACAGGAATCTTATTTTAACAGAATTATAAAAGCTTTGTTTTAACCCGTTTTTGTTTTTGATATTTTTATTTTTTTATATGAAAACATTTACGCTTATTTATCTCAATAAATGAACAATGAACCTCTTGTGACCTCTTATGTAAGTAAAACAGTGTGATTTCTTTCTGATTATGTCATTCCTCTGTCTCATCTGATGATTAACAGGACAATAAGGTGATTTTTTTGCCCCTTTCTTTATGTTTTTGGCTTTGGCTTTTTCTTCTTCTGTGTTTTTCTAAACTCGCTTCAGAAACTGTCAGAGTTCGACCTGCTCTTGCTTTTAGTAAAAACAGGAAATGGGTGCATGAAAGATTTTTCTTTGCATTTGCATGTCAGCTTTAGTCCTGGGTTTGGTCTTTCCTAATTATTCAGCAGTATGTTTTAGTTCTTAAAGGCACGGCTGCATAACTTAATGCAAATTTTACTTTTGCTTTGGCTGTGTGCAACACAATGGTTAAATGAAATGTTATGGTCAGAGTAAGAAAGCTTTCTGTTCCGGTGAGGTAAGTCTCCTTCAACATAAAGGGAATGTATTTCAAAACTCTTTCCAACTTTCAAGTCATTTATAATCATTAATCTTGATTAATCGGTTTACACAAATAGTTTATATTTTATTAGCTTTGTTATAGTAAAGATGTAGTATAAAGTACATGACACATGCTGATGTAAACCTGCTCAAGTGTTGCTCCATCTTGCATTGAGCTGGCAGAGCGCTGCTGGTGGAGGGTCTGTTTTTTTCTGATTTCAGGCTTGGATTTGGATCTTAGTTCTATTCTGGGTTATACACTCACCGGCCACTTTATTAGGTACCCCATGCTAGTAACGGGTTGGACCCCCTTTTGCCTTCAGAACTGCCTCAATTCTTGGTGGCATAGATTCAACAAGGTGCTGGAAGCATTCCTCAGGGAGTTTGGTCCATATTGACATGATGGCATCACACAGTTGCCGCAGATTTGTCGGCTGCACATCCATGATGCGAATCTCCCGTTCCACCACATCCCAAAGATGCTCTATTGGATTGAGATCTGGTGACTGTGGAGGCCATTTGAGTACAGTGAACTCATTGTCATGTTCAAGAAACCAGTCTGAGATGATTCCAGCTTTATGACATGGTGCATTATCCTGCTGAAAGTAGCCATCAGAAGTTGGGTACATTGTGGTCATAAAGGGATGGACATGGTCAGCAACAATACTCAGGTAGGCTGTGGCGTTGCAACGATGCTCAATTGGTACCAAGGGGCCCAAAGAGTGCCAAGAAAATATTCCCCACACCATGACACCACCACCACCAGCCTGAACCGTTGATACAAGGCAGGATGGATCCATGCTTTCATGTTGTAGACGCCAAATTCTGACCCTACCATCCGAATGTCGCAGCAGAAATCGAGACTCATCAGACCAGGCAACGTTTTTCCAATCTTCTATTGTCCAATTTCCATGAGCTTGTGCAAATTGTAGCCTCAGTTTCCTGTTCTTAGCTGAAAGGAGTGGCACCCGGTGTGGTCTTCTGCTGCTGTAGCCCATCTGCCTCAAAGTTCCACGTACTGTGCGTTCAGAGATGCTCTTCTGCCCACCTTGGTTGTAACTGGTGGTTATTTGAGTCACTGTTGCCCTTCTATCAGCTCCAACCAGTCTGGCCATTCTCCTCTGACCTCTGGCATCAACAAGGCATTTCCGCCCACAGAACTGCCGCTCACTGGATGTTTTTTCTTTTTCGGACCATTCTCTGTAAACCCTAGAGATGGTTGTGCGTGAAAATCCCAGTAGATCAGCAGTTTCTGAAATACTCAGACCAGCCCTTCTGGCACCAACAATCATGCCACGTTCAAAGTCACTCAAATCACCTTTCTTCCCCATACTGATGCTCGGTTTGAACTGCAGGAGATTGTCTTGACCATGTCTACATGCCTAAATGCACTGAGTTGCTGCCATGTGATTGGCTGCTTAGAAATTAAGTGTTAACGAGCAGTTGGACAGCTGTACCTAATAAAGTGGCCGGTGAGTGTATTTCCTCATCAAAGCTTTAAACCTGCATTCATTTCTTTGCGTGATGTTTGAGTGAATGACATGGTTTGTTGTGGGTTTATCAAACCACACCAGTTTCTAACTCACCTGTGCTTCTGTAGCATGTAAAGGCAGGTGCTCTCAAAGACCCGCTTCTGGACGACCAGGGAGACTTTAACAGGATGTGCGGGGCCATGAAGAAGATCGGCCTGAATGACACAGAGAAACTGGACCTTTTCAGGGTCGTCGCGGGAGTTCTGCATCTGGGAAACATCGACTTTGAAGAAACTGGGAGCTCCTCAGGTCAGACAGAAGCAAAATGAACGAATATCTCTGAAACACTCTTTTAATCTGCAGGAGTAAGAAAAATAGATAACCAGATTAGAATTTTCTCTTTCCATGAACTTGTCCACCTGTTTTAGAACAACCTATAATATATTTAATTGGTGTTTTATGTGCAAGAACAACATAAAGTAAATAATAAATTTTTTAAGTGATATCAAAATGAGAAGAGTTGCACCACTATTAAGATTTCAATACCCTAAAAATTGCTAAACTTCTTCTCTGCTTCACTTCTAACATGGTACAGTCCTGCCCTGCATCAGTATCACTGTACATGACCAACCTGCCGCATTCCTTAAAAACAAAACGTTCATATCAGGCCAGTTTTACTCATTTATGTATTTAATTATGTCTGTGACATATTTTACTTTCCTGGAAGTAATAGATAATTTTCTAAATTAGAAACTTAGACCTGAAAAGTGTGGCATGTATTTGTAATGAGCCCATTTAGTCAAAAGTGTTGACATGTGTCTTTATGATTTTTGGCCATTTATTTATTTATTTATTTTTTTTTTATTCTTTATTTCGAACATGCAAGAGAAAAACAAAAAAACAATAAAATAATGTTTAAAAAAATTGGAGAGAAAAACAACAAACAAGGTACCCTCGATTACATGTGCGAAAAGGAGTAGGAAGAAGTAAAACTTATGTACTCCTACCCCTTTAATTCTTGTATTTCTTTAATTTACAATATTTATAATTGTGTTGCTATAAAATCCATATAAATACATACCTACCTACAGATATACATACATAAATATGTATACACATATACCGTCATACATATATACAAAGTAACAAAACAAAAAAACACAAACAAAACTTTCTACAATGTTTCTCTATACCTTTTAAAAGTAATTTCTTTGTACATTTTTTTTGAAAAGGAATATGTTTGGGCATTGCTTTAGGTTCTCATTTAGTTTGCTCCACAATTTAACTCCACAAATTGATAAACATAATCTTTTTCTTGTTGTTCTACATCTATTAGTCTTAAAATGTCCCCTTCCCGTTAAATCGTAGCCTCCCTCCCTTTCAGAGAACATATTTTGGATATTCCCAGGCAATAGGCTATGTCTTACTTTGAACATGAATACTGCAATTTGGTATTCTATTAAATCCTGGTATTTTAGCAATTTAGATTTTAGAAATAATGCGTTTGTATGATCCCGAAGTCCGGCGCTGGAATGATTCTTCATTAGAAAACTAAAAGTTTAGACAGGACACATCTGTAAACCTCAGCTTTGAAGCCCTGTCATAACTGGATTAGGTGTAAATATGATTCTGCTTTGATCTAAACCATTGCATCGTACCCCAGACTGGATGTTCAGAGTGGTTGTTCTGCTAGAAGGTGAACTTCCACCTCAGACTGAGGTGTTCTGTTGTTAACAGGATCTCTCCCAGTATTTTCTTAGATTTAGCTCCATCCATCTCCCTTTCTGTTCAGCTTCCTCTCTTTGCTTGTTAAAAGTCTACCACCTCCATGTTTGTGATGGTGATGCTCTGTTCAGGATAATAATCGGCACCAATTCTCTCCTGTTTTTTTCATGAAGCCCAGAAGCTTGACACATGCAAGCTTTAACTGTTCTTAGTCATCTTTTTAAGATCTCTAGAAATGACATCAAATTAACTTTAATCAAGTAAATAAACAAAACTCTAGAAAGATGCTTTAGTCTCCATCCAAAAGGTGATATTGCTGTTTTTATATCAGGGTGATTGTTTCTGCTTTCAGGTGGTTGCATCCTTAAGAAAGAGTCAGACCAGAATCTGAAGTTCTGTGCTGAGTTGTTGGGCCTGGACCAGGACGATTTGCGCGTCAGCCTCACAACTAGAGTCATGCTCACTACAGCAGGGGGCGCCAAAGGCACAGTTATCAAGTAAGATCAACAGAGTTGAGTTTGAAGTCATTATCTGTTTGAAAATCAATCCGCTTTTACTGAAGCCACAGTTGGTAACTAGTTATTAAATGTTTGAGTGAGAATATAAGGAGAGAATATTTAAAATATGGCTAAAACAATCAAAGATTATCATCTTGTTCCTGACACCAAATGGTCCAGAAGAGTAAACTAAACTTCTTAACAACCCGGGAGTAGAAAGAGCATATGCAAATGAAGATGTGATATTAGCGCTGCTCCTCTGTACTTTGATGATAATGCCATGTTTGGTAGATAAATATTTTAAAAGGGGCCAGATGCCGGCCTGGCCTGGAAGTGTTTCCTCCCACATCAATAATGCAGCTTATGTCTGAGGAGGCAGGGGAGTGTGGCTGCGGTACAGTGAAGCCCCGGCGTCTGGGGAGGGGCTGGAACAAAGGGGGGGGGCTTTCTTTGTTACTAAGCTGCAGATGCATCCAATCATCCCCTGGGAGGCAGAGGGCAACAAAAGGAGGGGGGCGGGGGGCTACGGAGTCTTTTAACTCATCAGATAAAACATTGCAACTCATAAAACACCTGTCGTGAGTCCACACCCAACTTTCCTGGATGTTTTTAATGCGTTTATCAACTAAAACACAAAATTCTGCCAACAAACCACCATTTTAGACTAAACTATAATAGATCTGTAATAAATGAGGGTTTTACTTTCTGTGCTGAATATCAAAAGGAAGTATAAGGAGTAGATATAACCTGGTAAAAGAGGCATATTTTAATTTTAAATTCAGTTTCTTCCCAGCTGGGACAGCTCAGTTGAACTCTGGCCTTTGGAGAGGCGCACTTTGTGGGATCTGGGAACCTTTGTGAATAACTTGAGCATTAATAGTGGTTACAGCACCATTAGAGATTCAGGTAGAGTTCAAAGTTCAGATTTTACTTTTAAAAATCTTTTTAAATCATACTGATAGCGGGATTATTCAGACCTAAGCCACGGTTTCCCAAATGTTTCACGCCGACATGAAAGCGTTGATGCCACATTAAAAAGTGGGGCTGATTAAGAAGAGTAAAAACAGAGCAGCATGTCCCAGTTACAGAGCCGCTGTCATTGCCCCATTTAATGTGTCCCTCCAGGGTGCCTCTAAAGGTGGAGCAGGCCAACAATGCTCGGGACGCCCTGGCCAAGGCGGTGTACAGCCGCCTCTTCGATCATGTGGTGAAACGCGTCAACCAGTGCTTCCCTTTCCAGACTTCCTCTAACTTCATTGGAGTGTTGGACATTGCTGGGTTTGGTAAGGGAAAGCAGTCAGACATTTACAGAAACTTTCTCTTTATGTGTAGACAGTTATTTTTTTACCTGCAATTTGGAAAATTGCTTTTTTTTTTCATTCCTTTTTCACTGCTGTGTTGATTATTGAGTAAGAGAATCCTGTGTGTGTCCTAAATATACATTTTCATTTAATTAAGCAACACAAAAACAAGCTCATCACCAGGCATCTTTTTTAAGAACATTATTCTCCCGTTCCTATCATTATAATAATAAGCTTTGCACTTTTTTCTGCAGAATATTAATGAAATGAATGTTTTCCCTCCTGTTTTCTTTCCTTCTCATAGAGTACTTTGAGCACAACAGCTTTGAACAGTTCTGCATTAATTATTGCAATGAGAAACTTCAACAGTTCTTCAACGAGCGGATTCTCAAAGAGGTGGGTGATCAGCCTGTGGATTAAAGTCCTCGTCACGTCACTGAGGAGCCAAACTTATGCGCTGCTCATAAACAAGGAAAAATGCTTTGCATGCAGAGGACTTTTCTCTCGCTCTTTGATTTTTCTTTCACAATCTACGCTCACATTTCCTTTGAGCTTTTCTATTAGAATGCTAATTTCTCATGGGACAACCCCCATTTTCTGTGATCCTATAATGTTTTTTTTTTTCTGTCTTTATTTAACGGCTGTTAGTTCTGGTTACTTGTTGGTTACTCCCTTACTTGTTGTCTAAGTTTTTTTGTTTTTGCTTGTTTTGATGTTTCTTGAGGAATTTAAAGATTTTACTAAGTAACTTCTATAAATCTGTCGCAAGGAAACTTGTGTTACTCTGTGTCGAGGGGGGGGGGGATTTACCATTAGGCAATACTAGGGAGTTGCCTAGGGCCCCAAATTTCCTAAATCTGCCCCTGCTCTGTGTTAACTTTTTATTATTATTATTATTATTATTACAGGAGCAAGAG